TTGTCTGAGAAGGCGTTAAGTTATAGTTTAGCACCTACTGTAAAGTTAGGTCCATGAAAAGGATGGGAAGAGAACCACCATATTGTTCAGTAACTACTAAGTGTCAGGCTCTGTGAGATGTTATTATTTAATCTTTCCAAAATCCCATTAAAGTAGGTATTATTATCATTATTCCTGTTTTACAGGGAGGAAACCAAGATTCAGAGACTTTAAGTAACAGCTAGTTTGTGGCAGATATAAAATTCAAATTCAGATATCTTTGAAATCAAAGCCTATGCTCTTTCTACTTTGCTATGTTTATCAAGGTGGTATTCTAAGCACTACTAGAGATGCAAACAATAGACATTTTCCCCCCTCAAGGGACTTGTGTTCAAACTGGAGGAGGGGGATATATTTGCATAGAAAATTAATACTACAACAAGATCATATTTTATTGTACTGTATGAGCAGTGCACATAACTGGGTGGCAACTATGAATGCTCTGGGATTTCAAAGGAAGAAGAGAGTTCTGTTTACTGGATCTAGGAGAGCCCTTCCAGAAATATTATTTAAGCATTAAAACTATACTTTTTTAAATAACAAAATTTTGCCCATGTTCACCCTTGGAGAATAGGATTGTGAATATACTATTTTACAGGGGGAAAGAAAAAAAAAGTTCTGTTTAAAAACACACATTTTTTGGATTGTTTTCCTTTTGTGGAAAATTATGACTGAAATTAAATCAGCCAAAAATGTACATTTTACATTCTTTTTGTTCATTTAACAACATTTATTGAGTATTAGCTGTGGGAGATACAGGAAAGCATCATCTCTACCCTAACGAAGCTTATAGTCTAATGGAGAGATGAAGGTGCAAGGCAGGCAAAAATGGTTCCAGCGTGTGCGGGTCTGGCTATCTGAAACCTAACCAAAGGCATCTATCTATTCAGCTATATTATATTGTCATCCTTGACAATACAATGGATTTAGTCTCTGATTTCTTAGTTTTTGCTTATAATTTTTCATTATGATCAATTAATTGATCTTGAAACAAAAGATTAGGAATCTATAAACTAAATATAAGGCTTTTTTTCTCTCTCTCTCTCTTCTTGCAGTCCTATGCTAACTCCTATATCCTTTCTTAAAATGAGTATTGTGATAGATGCTTTTTTTTCTTGCTGTTATAAAACAATTGTTTGTGATGAACTGTTGCAAAGTGTTGAAAACCCCTAAACATTGTGCTAAAATTTTTTCTGTAGAAAACTTTCATAGGCTTGTATCTTATGATATAAACAGTTTTGTAGATACATCCTCACTGGACAAATTACTCCCCACCTCCAAATTATTTGATGAAGGTTTTAATGTCTATGATATAAATTCCAAATGTTTGGAAACATTTTCATATTATTTGCATGTTCTTTGAATGATAAGGTACCTTGGAAATTGTGAGACATTCTTTTAGAAAAAAATGCTGTAATCATACATTGATTTTAAATGACCCTGTCACACGTGAAAACAAATCAGATTGTTGCTCTTAATGAGCTTTTCAATTTACTATTCAGTAGATCAGATAAGTAGATTTAAGAGGTAATGATCCTGTTTAGTACTCAAGCTTGACTGTCAGATCCTAGTAGTGGAGAGAAGTCCCCAAGGACAAAAGCGTTGACACAGTTCTAGATGGGATAATGGGAATCAAAGCTAATGGATGATAAAAGGAATGGTGCAAGTTACAAGGATAATTGTGGATTAAAGCACTGCCATGTGTCAATGTTGACTGTTTTTTCTAGTATCTTATTGGGTCAAATTTGATGCTTTGAGAAACTGTTTTGACAGCAGAGCACAACAGACCTGCCTGCATAGCTTTCTCCTCTTTTGAACACTGGGGACACATCAAGAAAGCTTTTCTTGATAAGAACCACCAATGAAAAAGGATATATTTTCTAAATGTTTTAAATGTTAAAACTAACATTTTAATAATTTTAAAAAATATTTTTATTGTGCAGTGTGTCATAGTTAAAATCAAAATTATAAAAAATCTGAGCTTTGCCATCAAAGTAGCCACTTAATCAAATGTGAAGTTTGATTTTACGAAAATACAATGTAGTCATCATGTTGTTCAAAATAAGAACACTAATCTGGAGGGGATAGAAAAAGAAAGATGTAAACATAATGAGAAGAAAATAAGCTAGTTGAGATAATCTCATCCTCATGTCCTTTCCCATAAACCAATATGTCAAAAGTATGGAGTTATTATTAATTGTGTTTATCTATAAGGATGACCCTTGTACTATCAGAAAAATTTGTGCTCTGAGTTGTAGGAGGGCCAGTTTAAACTATTCCACCCATGCTTTCAACTTTGTTACATGAAAGTGCCTTTATAATTACAGTCAGAGTTAGGAACACAGTCTCTGTGGCTGTGGGAGGGAACAAAATTGGGACAACAAGGCAGCCAGTAGGGTGTTGAGTCCCCACTGTTATCTAATTCTAAAAATAAGGCATATTTGAAAGATTTCATTTGAAAAATGTACTGCTAAAATAAAAAGTTTAAAGATGGTTTAAAGATGGTTGCAGATATTCATAGTTTGAAAAATAACAATATAAGCTATCCTCTCTTCTTCTTTCTGTTGTAATTTATGATCCTGTGTCTTTTGTCCGTGGAATCCAATATATGTTTTAATAAGAAAGATCTTCATTTTTCATAGTCTGTGTAATAGTCACATTATAATATAGTCCCAGTGGATCCAGATCCTGACTCTTGCCATTATACATTAAGCACACATGTATTATTTACTTGACAAATATTGTGTTAGGTGCTGGGACACAAAGAATAAGGCACAATACCAGCCCTCAAGGAGTTGCAATGTAGTAGGGGAGATGGACACCCAGTTACAATGTGAAAAGCACAATGATAAAGGAATGAACCAAATACTGTGGAACGTAAAGGCAAGTGGAATTCATTCTGCCTCGGTGCTAAAGAAGGCTTCAGAGGAGATGACATTTGAATGGTCATTAGGGGAAGAGGAGAAAGATGGCTGATTCAGGCAAAATGAACAGCACATGACTGCACAGAGATCAGAAGTCACATGAGAAGCTTCAGTGATCCATCAGCATTTCAGTATGACTTGAAGTTGAGGGAAATGGTGGTCAAAGATGAGGTCATTTTGGGCCTAGTCTTGTGAAGGACCTTGTATGCCATTAGTCCTGTCATTATCCATATTTCCTAAGGGTTCAGTTCATTGCCATCCATGAGAGAGGTTTTGGAGCATGGTGAGATAACCCTTTCTACTTGCCATTCTTCCTTTGAGATTTCTAGGTATTTGAAGATATCTGATCATGGAGGGAGAGCTTTGGCAGCATAGTGCCTAAGGCATTTTACTGCTAATCAGAAGGCTGGTTGTTCAAACCCACCAGCCACTTCTTGGAAGGAAGGATGGGCAATCCACTTCCATAGTGATACCACCTTGGAAACCCAAGGAAGGGTCACTATGAGTAGGATCCAACTCGACGACAGTGAGTTTGGCTTGGTTTGGTTTTTGATCATGCAGGATTGGTGATAACTAACTTCCCTAGGTTCTCTCTCCCTAGCTCCCTCCCAGACCCTTATATCTTATAAGTCATAGTGACAATTTCAATCTATAAGAGATGATACCTGCCCTTGTGGGCATAGTCAAGGATACAGTTGTTGAAATGCTTTTCCTTAGGGCTCAGAAGTTAGCAGAAGATACAATAAGAATCTGAAAACCAATCTTCCTTTCCCTTTCTCCCACAGCCTCTCCACCCTACCTTTCTGCCCCTTCTCTCCTCATCTCTCTCTCTTCCTCCCTCTCTCCCTCCCTCCTTTCAATTCATTTAACAGTCTGGGGATCCTTCTGGACATAGGCTTTAGATTGAAATTCTAGAATACAAGCTTCTGGTTTGGTTGGTGCTCAAAGTCCAGATAAGAGATTTCTGCAATGAACAGCTTTCCTCCCCTGTATAACCCTATAACTTTGAATGATTTGTGGTGCCCTGATTTTTATCTTACCTTCATTACCTATGGCATTATATCAGGCTGGTGTTTACATATGAAAAAACAGACAGCAGAGGAAGTGGAAGCTAAATTGCTATACCATAGGCAAGGGGCAAATCAGGAGAAAGTGAGAGAACATAATCATAGGGGATCAAATCACAAAAGAGAAATCACCCATACAACTAGTGCCTGGCAGGGATAACCTGGAATCACACCAGAACATCAGGGAGTATGGAGGTGTCAACCTACCTCTCAGCTTTGCCAGGCTACTAGGGGCATTCCATTGGCTGCCGGTGGCATTCTCCCACTTGGAGTGAAATATGTGTTTATAAGCTCATTGTCATTGGGGTTGGGACTAAAATGTTGCACCCAAAACTCAGCAACCAACACTCCCTAATTGAAAGCTCAGTGGATTTCCAGTCCCTGATGTTTTCAGCAGAGAATCCTAAGCTTGGGATTTCAATTTCAGCATGGAAAGTAAGACCTGCCACTTATATTTGGGGGAGCTTAATTAGGGGATATTGGGGAAGAATTTCTTTAAATTCTTTACCTTCATTTGATTTTTTAAATCCTCATTTTTTTTATAACTGCTTTATGTAACCTGAGTTAGTTGATGTTTTGCTGGAAATCTGGACTAGATGGCGATTTTATAATGTTAGAGCCATTTGTTGAGGCACTTTCCAGTCCTTTGCATGCCTGCACCCATCTTTGAGAAAAGGATCACTACCATTTTGAGAAAAAGAAATTATATGGAATGGGTGGGAGTAAAGTACGTGTATGTATGTGTGTGTGTATGTATCTCTTTGTGTGTATTTATTTCAGAAAGAGAGGTAATTCTTAGAAGGAAGTGCTAGTAAATTTAAAAACTTTTATTTTTAATTTAAGTCCTTCATTTGCTGTCCTCATCCGTGGATGCACCAATGCATTAAGTTTTCTATTTGTTTAGTTTGAATAGTTTTTTGAAAATATATGTTAACATTAAAGCTGTTAACAATGAAATGTTTTCATGCAGGTATATGCCCGTATGTCAGAAGTCTTAGGAATAACAGATGATAACCACGTTCTAGAAACATTCATGACAAAAATGTGAGTTCTTACTTTAGTTCTTTGATTTTGCTTTTGTTGTTGTTGTTAGTTGCCATCAAGTCAATTCTGAATATCTTTACTATTTAAATCTCTTCACAGATACACTGAATTGTTTTTAAATAAAGGATTTTAAAATTATGCATTAATTCTTGGAATAGTAGTGTCGTTTTTTTAACTGAAAGTTAATTTCACATATTTGAAACCCAAATACCATCCAAACAACATTCTAATTTGTCATGATATCCATATGACATCAAAACATGGTTTAAAAAAATTTATTAGCAAACAAGTACCTCGTAAGGTCGATTAGATAACTTCATTATTATTATTATCCAATTTCAAAAACCATCTGAAGAGATTATTGCAAATTGAAATCATTGAGAGACATCTGATTGCCTTAAGACAGCGCATTCATTGGTTTTAACAGGAACCTATGGCTAAGAGACATATTCATGGAAGAGTGTCCTTCAACTAGCCTTTTAATATTAGCAGAATTAACTAATGCGTACACATAGATACAACTTTGTGCACTTAGGCTAAACCTGTATGCCTCCCCTTGGCATTCCACTTTTACAGATAGCCGGCACTGTCTTGCTGCAGAAAACATAGCTAGATAAACTATCATCATCATAAGGAGTGAGTGTCAGAGCCACTTCATAGGAAGTGAGTCTTGGAGTTTGATGATTCGTTCCTTGATAGTAAACTGTGAGCCTCTGTTTGACTGACTCCCTTTGTAACTCCTGCTTTCACTCTCTAATATGTTTGTTTTTAATACAGACTTAATGTTTCTTCTGTGAAATACTTAGGAAACTTTTTAATTTACAAACCAAAATTTATGGAATTATACACCATTTAGAGAATAATGTTCATTGTAGATGGTATATAATTTTGAATGCACTATAAAAAGAATAGAGTAGAAAATGTCCCATTGGTATTTGAAACTGCTTTTTACTGTATGAGAGATTTGTGATTTCAGTCATCTAACTTACATGAGGGTATGTATAATTTCCATGGTTCTCCCTACACAAGCGAATACCTTACTGATAATTAAAACTTTTTTTTGTTTTTGTTGTCCCTATTTAGTGTTACAAACCTTAAATACTGGGGAAGATGTGAGCCTGTAATTTCAAGGACCCTTCAGTTCCTAAATGACCTTTCTGTTGGATATCCTTTTTATTATATATCTGATATTATATATAAGCAACTTAACAACCACTTTCTACAGCCAGGTATTTTCCTTATTTGTAATGTTTGTGAGTTGTTTTGTTTTTGTTTTTAACATAATGCCTTTCATTTAGCCTTCTCTGTAAATGCATTCTTTGGAAAGGTTTACATTGGCTACATGTTATGAAGCACTTATTCAGAATCATAATCCAATTTATATGGATATATAGATTCATAACTAGTTAGTTTACCAAGATCAATAAATTGTTACATGAGAAAGTATGCAACCAAATGTGCTTTAAGTCCATGGTTTTGCATATTTGTTAAGAAGTTCTTGTTCTAAAGCAAAATGTGTGACTAATTTTAAGGTCAAAATGGTTAAAATATGTTATGAAAACTGAATCTTAAGAGTAAATGTATTTTGAATATTCAGTTGAAAAGAACATCATTTTCGTTAGTCAAGAGGCACAAAGGAATAGTAGGATGAAAATTGTAAGTTTTTTTAAACCACTTCTTTGATTATTGGCCCTCCCAAATCAAAATCTTATTTACTGTATAGTAAGATTTCCCATTACAAATTAAATGCTTAGATTTTTCCCTTGAACAGGTTTTTTTAAATCTAAAATGAAAAATCATTTATTAGATTGTATTATTATCTTTCTAACAATGAGAGAAGTAGCATGTAGATTGTCTTTTACATGTCAGCTATCAGATGTATAGAGTTATGAAAAATAAGTGTTGGTTTAGTTAACCACTAAGATTAGCTGATGTTTTAATATAAGAACAACATTCTGGAAATGGGTGGGGTTGGGTGGAAACCTTTAATATAGGTTCACTCCAGGAATATGTTTGTATTAGTTAAGTTTAAAATTGTGTTCCTTGGCAAACCATAAAAGATTTCCAAAGTATTAGACACCCACTTTTGTGCTGGAATTTAATATGCAACTTTTTATTGGAAAATAATCGTCCTTGTCTGGCAAAATCCACCATGCAATATTTCTGTTAGTAGGTATAATGCAATAAAGACAGGGAGGGCTATTTATCACTACAAATTTTGAGGATTTCAGGATTCTTTTTATTATTTTAATATATTTCTTTGATATTAAATCAGAAAAATGATAAATTACACCTGTCCAGGCTGTTTTTCCTTTTTACTGGAAAGTGATGTACAACCCAATTCCAGTGGTCATTTTGGCTTTTAAAGATATGTATTTTTTCTTATTAAAAAAATAAAAAAAAACTCAACCTGTATTTTTTTTCAATAATAATGCTGAAATACTCTTTATTTCTAACATATGAAGTGGTTTATAAGTACTTCCTAGTATTGTAAACTCCAGCCTTTTCACAATGAATTACTTGAGAGCACATTATATGGAAAGAAGCCTGTGTTATTCTCTAGTACTTATCTATTGTTTAGATTTACCCTGTTTTAAGTTGAAGTTGAAACTTAGTGTAAAATCAGTTTGATTTGTATTCTTTTTAGTATAATTTGCATAATGCCTAATTGTATCTGTTTTTAGGAATCTTTTCTTATCATGTTGTATCTATTGAACTATCCCTTAATCCTAAAATTATAACCTTTTATTTTACAAGCTGTTTATTTCTTTTGAACACTTCTTCTAAAGTTAATAAAAAATTGTATTTTCAAAAAACTTGTTAAATAAAAGTTTAAAAGCTGTAACATTTTAAACCAAGAGATATGAATGAATTCAACATGGATACACTGATTTATATTTTTTAACAATTATTTCAGGTTTGCATATTTAGAAATATATATTAGCTCAATTTGATTTCAGTGCTCAGTTATTTGAATTATAAATCATTATGTCCCTTCCAGCTGATCAGTCCTGAAATATCTTTGAATTCATTTACATAATGGAATACGTGAGTGGTGTATCTATTTCAGTGCAATTGCTGGTTACCTAATGCATGTTTGTTGTTTCCAATCGATTCCTTTCTTATAATGTGTTTTTTAATCCTGATTTTAAAGCATTGCATTGTTTCTGCTTTGAAAACAAGATGGAACCCTTCAGCAATAGGAACAGTTACATGAGATAAAAAATCATCACTTATTGGCCCTCTATTAATGGAATTATGTTTATATATCAATATTCAAAGGTTTTTTTTTTTCCCTCTTTAATCTGCTTCAGAGTTTATGATGCTTATTCAGTGTTTATGATGCTTATTCAGTGTTTATGATGCTTAAAACTAGTCTTTGTACTTTGGTGTTCTTGTATTTGACGACTGGTCTGGAAATTGAAACCACAGAAGATCCTCATTTTTAGGAAATGCTAAAAGCTTCATTGGGAGCTCTGATAGCATAGTGGCTAAGACACTTGCCTGCTAACCAGATGGCTGGCGGTTCAAACCCACCAGCCACTCCTCGGAAGGAAGGTTGGGCAATCCTACTTCCGTAATGATACTGCCTCGGAAACCCAAGGAGGGATAGCTATGAGTCGGGTTTGACTCGATGGCACATAACAACAACAACAAAAGCTTCATGTTCAGTTGCCTTAAGGCAGTGATCTCTAACTTCAGTAAGCATCACAATCACCTAGAAGACATAGCTGGACCTTTCTCCAGAGTTTCTGTTTCAGTGGGTCCTTGGCTGAGCCTGATAATTTGCACTTCTAACAAGACTCAGATGATGCTGATGATACTGGCAGTTCAGGGACTATACTTTCAGAACTTCCTCCTTGAAGTAATTAGAAAATGGAGCTGGATTATGTGTCTGAAACATAAAAATCAGGTACAGAAAAAGACACTTCTTTATAGAACTTTGTCCTCCCCGGGGAAAGGCAGGCCACATTTTCAGAGAGCCTGTTGTTGTTGTTGTTGTTATGTGCCGTCGAGTCGGACCTGACCCATAGCGACCCCTCCTTGGGTTTCCAAGGCAGTATCACTATGGAAGTAGATTGCCCCATCTTCCTTCCGAGGAGTGGCTGGTGGGTTTGAA